ATTGTTAGGCCACGAGAGACAAGAGACAAATTTGTAGTTCAATAGAGTGAACATAGATAAACAATTGGTATTTTTTTCTCAGCAATAATTGGTAATCTTGAAACAACGATAAATGTTTGTTATTTACTCTCAATTTGGCATTGCAAAGCACCTAGCAAAGCCATGTACGCTATCTTTAGAGCATTTCACTTTTGCAATGACAAATCACTGATTTCAAATATTGGTTCTTCATAAAAAAAAAAATCAATCTTTCTTTCTTAATTTTTTTTAAAAGAATAATAATTCGACAAATATAAGGAACCTAAAGGGAAAAGTACAACCTAAAGACTAGAAAAGATCACAAAAGGAAAAGTGGGAATTGAATGACCAAAACCACAACAAAAAAGAATGTGATTTAATTTGTTGAGAAGTTGAAGCTTCATTGTTTATACAAAAAGAATTTTGTAGATGATTTAAACATTGTGGTAATTTGAAGTTCTTACAAATCACCCAAATAAACAAGGTTGTGCATTTGTTTGACCAATTAGCAAAACACAAAATCATAGTGTCATTAGCAATACAACAAGCAAGATGATATGTAAATGACAATTGAGGCACCTATTAAACAAGAATGCATCAAATGACTTACTTTAAGTGACCAATTCTTTCCATTGGAGCATGTTATTTTTTCACATTGTTCTCTTTACCTAATAAACATCAACCTTCTCGTACCTTGATTTTGAGTCATAGAGAAGTAGAAGATAGTGAAATTATTAATTGAGCATGTCCTTATTTTCTCCTCTTTTAATTTTTCTAAAATTTCTTTTTACAATGTGCATGCATGTGGCTTATGTTCAAGTTTTGTTATAACAATGAAAATGGACATTGTGTTAATTAATGAAGAAGAATAAAAGCTCTCTTAAACAATTATAGGGAGTTATCAGACTATTTTTGTTTTTCTCACACTTATTATTCAACAATATTATCCAAGATTAAGGATTGAACAAGTTCAAAATCACAATCAATAAAGATTTAAAAATTTATATATGAATATATGTTGGAATTTACAAGTCAATTATAATTTTTCAAAATAAAAACTCAAATAAAAGACAAAAAGCAAATAGTTGAAAACATAATTACAACATATATGTGTTTTCCAAAATGTGAACAAAGTCATAGGAAATAAGTGCATCAACAAGTAGCAAGAGATTAATTGCAATGTGAGATGAATACTTCGAGTCAAAATAAGGATAAAAAAAATTTATGGCTACATTTTTTCAATGCATTGTCAATTGAGTTGCTTGGTGTCAATCGTCATTTACAATTACAAATCATCTTGCAATATAGAACAAGTGAGAGAAAACTAAAAGCAAGAAGCAAGAAAACATAGGGCACATGGGAGAAGAGAAAAGAATGGTCAAGTGTAATTTTAATAGGAAGATTAATTTCGACCATTCATTTTGATCTAGTGGATAATATTAGATACTCTTACCTCTCACTACAAGACATCTCTCTCACCTGGTATACCCTATATATGGGTACATATCCTGTGAGAAATAGTTTTCTATGTGAGAGTGAAAGAAATTAATTTTAACCATTAGATTAAATTAATGACTTAGATTAAAAGATTGCAAATAAAGTTATCATGTACCACCATTATTATATTGCCTTCATCATTGTAATTGTCATTACCATTGTTGGAACCTCCACCACCATCGCTATTACTACCACCACTATTATCATTATTATTACCACTACTATGACTGTTGCTGCCACTGTTACCACTTAATATTGAGATTTTTAATGTAGAATCACATAATACAATCTTAAACTTGAATTTTTTTTTATCTTTTATTGTTGTCCGAAGAGTTTTTGGTTATATACATCATGTTATGTATTAATACATTACATACTGTTTATACTTGAAAATGTCCTCATGAGAGAAGCCAACCTTTATTTTACTTTTTGCTACTTTGAAATTTAGCCAATGTATTTTTTAATTATGATGTAAATTTTCAATTTAGAAAACTTCATATATAATAAAATATTTCTTTATAATATTGTTATTTTTCCAAATATTTCATTTAAGAGTGTATGAATAAATGAAAAATTATTCACAACTGTTGCACATAAATTTTTCTATAAGTCGCATCAAAATCTTAAAATAAGTAAAAAAGAAATTAAATAGTAGGTTTAAGAACACACATGATATTGAAGATCATTTATGAAAAGGTTTAGATTAGGGTAAGGCACAACCCTATGTAAGGTGAGAATTAATTACCAATCTCTTTGAGGATTTTTAGTGGGATTATGGGTCGCTTATCCTATCCTTAGCACAAGTCCGCGTGGACAGACATAAAATACGAGAGAAGTCACGTGGACAAACATAAAATACGAGAGAAGTCAGATGTAATCTGAGGTCCTAGCTAGTATAGGAGCAAAGAGATTTAACCAGGTATGTCATATTTGTGGATATATTATAATGGAGTAGTATATATGTCATTTACTAATTAATTTTCTTTTATTGAATTCTTGATAATAAATATTTATTGTTTTTTATTTACATGTCACATATGTGTGTGTATAGAGAGATAGAGTTAGGATCTTTTTGACACCATATGTAAGTTTAAAAACTTACATCAAATTTTATATCTTCAATAAATTTTTGTATAATGCAAATTGAATAAATACAACAATCAGATTTATTTATTTTTTATAATATTTTACAATTATTATATTGCTTGATAACTATCAATTTAATATTTACTTTTCAAAACTCACCATTGAAAGTTCTTAAGTCCTAAAGCGAGACAATTTTCAACCCTTCACTTTTCAGCCCCATCACTTTTTCTTCACATACCAAAAAAATTCGTAAGAAAGTAGTTTCTTTCACTTTCTCAGCAACCTTGAAAAAAAAAAGTCTCCACCCCATATTTTTTGTTAACCCAAAATGAGTGAGAGGAGGATAGCTGGATGAGCCAATGGAGCATATGTTTGTGAGAGATAGGTTACAGAGGCATGTTAATAGGGTTCCAAGAAGCATGAAAATTGCAAATATTGGTGTAATGGAACCCCCTAAACCATTGTAGATATATATAAGAAGAGTAAGTAAAACCTTTTTTTTTTGTCCCTCTCATTTTGTGCTTTTTTTCACTAAGATTTTTAGATTTCAAATTTTAAAACTCCTTAGGGTGTAAAATCATATATATAGCAGATACGTGCACAAAAAAAATATTAACAAAAGAGGTGTGCAAAAAAAACTCATAAGCGTGTCTAATCATATAAACATTGTTGCTGAGATAGATCCTAAAAATGAGAGTTGGAAGATCAAGGTTAGGATTATTTGTTTTTGGTTGGTGTCAGATTTGGAAGGGAGACAATCCCTTTCTCTATGTAAATGGTTTTGGTTAATTTTAAGGTTGTTTATATTTTAGATTCTAAGGTTGTTTATATTTTATATATTTAAATATTGTTTAGATTTAACAAGGTTTTCCTGTGTTGTAGGGAGATAGGATTCATGCATCTATGAAGAAATCCATTCAAGATGTTTCTTCTAATAACAACGTGAAAATATTTTTCTAGATTGTTAATTAGTAAAACTTCCATTAGAGTTGTTGGATACTACAAAATCTTTAAATGAAATACTTATATTGACTCTATGATGCAACTATTCCTAAATAGACTTAATATTGAGCATTGAACAAGTTAATTGACTTCTAGAATCTTACTGACTTAAATAGTAGTTTCAACTTTGATACATATAAAATCAAGTTAATTAACAAGTCATTTTTTTACATCGACGAGATTTACTTCAATTGTACAATCAATATAAAAAGTCCATTTTCTATATAAACTAGTGACCTTATTATCAATGGTCCCTATCTTACCAAACTGTGACTTCGGTCATCGAAGAACGCATGTCTCAGTCTCACTACATGTTCCTTACATAAAGAATAATTCAATGCCGTACATATCTTCAATATCAGTGATATAATAATAATAATAACATATTTGCCCAAATGCATACAAGACTATTTAGTTCAACTTAATTATATTCATTACTCCAAATACTTATTAAAATCAAATTTTATTTCAATCAATCATCTACGAAATTGGATAAAACATTTTGCGTATACCAATTTAATAGAGCTGGCAGTATGGTTTTGTTTTTTTTTTTTTTTACAACTCAAACAAATTATTCTTAAACACTTAATAGGTTAAACTTTAAATAAATACTATGATTTGATCATGTGTAACCTATTTAATAAAAATATTAAATTTAAACCTTTACAAGGTTTATTTATTTAAAAAAATCAAAATTAGACTCATAAAAAAATTATAACTCAACTCCTTTATCTATCTGATACGATAAAATAAAATACATATTACAATTTTAATAATATAATAAATAAATAAAATTTCAATACATAAAATCAAATTATCCATATTTTTTACATTTTTACTACACTTAAACATTTTTCATTTCTTATTTAAATAAAATCAAGAAATCGAAAATAAAACCTGTATTACATCTCCACTTACTCTTTTTCTTCGAATTCATGATTAGTTATTTCGAATGTCCCAAATAAAAAATATTTGAAAAGACTTTTTTTAATGAGATTATCTTTTATCATCATAATTTGTGTCTAAGTATATGATAGTAGAATTGTAAATGCATAAGTTATCTCTATTAAGAGAATTTTCTTATTTTTATTTTAATCTCTAAATTTTAATAATAATAGAATAAATTATTTTTATATCATGTAAATTGAAAAAAAAAACTCATATACATATTTAAAAATAAATTGATTAACTTATTTAAATCAAGTTTATTGACCTATTAAACATATAAATAAACTTTTAAATAATCTAATAAATCACATTCTTAAAAAGTTTAAGTTAAACCTATATAAAAAAAAAACTTAAGATAAATAATGAATCAGACTTAAACTTTAATTTTTATAAAAAATATTTAAAATTTAGCCTGATCTGCCCCTATTTTCATCTCACCTGCAAGGTTCGATTAATCTTTCAAACTCCTATGATAAAAATCAAATATACATAACTAATTTTCCTTTTTTAATTTTACCCCCATAAATCTAAAAGATTTATTAATACAACAAAGCATGAAAATAAGCTTCCCTTACTCCCCCAGTTTCTACTCCTACATCTCGTCGGTTCAAAAGAAAATGCAAAACATGCACAACTATTTTTTGAACACGCTAGCCAGTTCACCTTTCTCATACATGGAGGTCAAAATATCACAACCCCCAACCAGTTCACCGTCCAAAAAGATCTGAGGGAATGTGGGCCAGTTGCTGTACTTTTTAAGTGTTTCCCTCAATCCGTAGTTATACTCTTCATCCAGAACATTTACACTCTCATAATCTACTCCTTCTTTTTCAAGAATGGCTATCACCCTCTGTGAGAATCCACATAGTGGTGCACTTCTGGAACCCTTAATGAATGCAACTACCTTGTTCTGTTTCACCAACGTGTCAATGAGATTTTCAAGGGGGACAGTTAATTGCATGTGGCGACCAGGTGTTAATCGAAGATCAGGCTTCCTTTTAGGTGGCTGCCTCACCCAAGTGGCATTTCCTGATTCATTGCCAGGTGGAATTTTTCCACTGACTTTTATGTATTCTTCCATCCAAGACTTCCATGCTTGGGTTAGAGCTTCTCTGTCTGGTTCATCCACTATCCCGGCCTACAGCAGACAATTTCAAAAAGAAAAATCCACCATTAGGGAAGTATTATCACTGGAATTTTGGAGAATAGTGATCTCAATTATATTGAAAACACAAGTAATGCAAATTATTATGGTATGTTTAAAGGGAAAAAAAAAGTTTATAAACAAAGGAAATGAAGGGAGTGAAAGGGGATGACTAACAAGTATCATTCCCAATGCTACTTTGACTATTAAACTTGGAATAGTTTGAGAATTAATAGCCTTGAGGGCAAGGCTTCAATGCTGATACAGATACAGTTAGTGGAAGGCAGAGAAATCAATGTCCACAAGGGCATGTTGCTTTCCCCTTTCTAGAAATGGCCTTAGATACTCTTTCTTAGCATAGGAAATTTTTTGTCGGTTATGGAAAAAACAAAAAATGATGATGATGTCACAACTTCTGTCGGCTATATATTACTGCTTCCTTTTTAGAGTTTTATTTCCCAAAATCTGGCACATTTCTGGATTTTCCCATAAAATATCCGGATGATTTTAATCATCTAGAAAATTTTAACTGGGCAAAAGTTGTCCATGAAAAACTGGTTTCTTCCCTTAATTATGCATAAAAAAAACTCACCCACTGCCCTACAAAATTGATTTGAATGGATGCGTTGTCATTTTAAATGTATGAACGTTCCAGCATTTATGCACATCCAATAGGCCAGAGACAATGAAATTCCCCCGCATGTTGCAATTGTTGGAAAAAACCTACTTCACAAACAAGGACTTGAAATCAAAATTTTATGAATCTCAGGTTTATTGTCTTTTATTATTAAAATTCATTAAAATATACTACTATCATTTTTCATTTTTTTTAATGGTAGTTTGTTTTTCTTAGCTTGTTGAAACATTGTCCCCCTTTGCCCATGAGTGGCAAATTAGTGTTGTCTGTGAGGCATTTGCTTCACAGTCTGATCCTGATGGAGAGCTTGGTGACACAGTATCAACTATCCAAAACAGAATTGGGGAATTAAATTTGGTGGCTTTTGAAGGTTTTCAAGTGCTTTCCTACTTTTTTATTATCTTTTTTCATATTTAACTTTGCTTCCCTTGGTTGATTTGCTTTGGTATTGTGAATTGTAGCCTGCTGAAAATTTGGAGCAGCAGCACCTGGAGGAAGTGGAGCAGCAGCCGGCTGTTGGAGAAGGCTTAAAAGAGGTGCAGCAATTTTTTTTAATTCTCCTTTTTTTTATTCTCCTTTTTATGTTAAATTTTAACTTCATTTTTTTTTTTTTTTACTTTTTTTGTTGTTGAGCAGCAGCACCACCCTGATGCTGCAGAAGATTTGGAAGAGCAACTGTAGGCTGCTTCTAGCAAAGGCTTAAAAGAGGCGCAACGGTTTTTTTTTTATTTCTCCTTTTTTTTTAATTTATATTAACTTCATTTTTTTTACTTTTTTTTTGTTGTTGAGCAGCAGTAGGCAGGTGCTGCTGCAGAAGATTTGGAAGAGCAGTAGCCGGCTGCTACTAGCGAAGGCTTAGCAGAGGTGCAGCCGTTTTTTTTTTTTTAATTCTCCTATTTTTTTTATTCTCCTATTTTTTTATTTTAAAAATTTAACTTTATTTCTTTACTTTTTTGTTGTTGAGCAACAGCACCCAACAAGGAAAAAAGCCTTGAACTAAAAAATAGGCTGCAGCAGCAGCACCCAACAAGCAACAGCAGCACCCGAGCCGCTGAAGTACAAGGCAAATCCATCCACCGAATCGCTATGGGCGCTAGTAATTAATACGCCAACCAACATATTGTGGCCTTATAGCCATTGTCAAGGGAGTCAACAGCCTGAATTTTATTACAGAATGAGCCAAAATCACAACCCATGTTCTACTCTTGGCATCAAAAACTCAAGGTATCACTATTAGAATTTTCTTGTTCTAAGCAAATGAGATAATTATCTTCCCTCAGCATCAACATCTACAAGGAAGATTCAGCAAACTATGCGTACTATGCATGGATTCTCCGTTTCTTTATGCCATGTTTGGGAGTTAGGCTTTGGACAAGAAGAGAGGAGAGGGTAATTTTTTTTTCATTTCTAATAAGAGAAATACTAGCAACACACTCCTTACACCCTGAAGTTTATTGAAAATCATAAATCTTTGTGACTTCCACTCCTTATTTAATGAGTTCCTACTATTATTTTATAATCAGCAATAAATTTTAACCACTAATAGTGAGTATGTTAAAAAAGTGTGTTACATCAAAAAGTGTATTGACAGCACTGAACTTCTAATATATATTCTCTAGTTTGATAATTTTCTTCAAATACAACACCACGACCACCAGCATAAATCAGTTCCCTTCTCCAAAACTTAACTTCGTTCAGACTAAAAGATAAAAGTATATTTCACTGAGGAACAGTATTCTGAGTATACACTGTTAGTAACAAGGTCACTAAACTCCACACAACCAAAGAATAACACTAATAATAAAAGAAAAAGGAAATTAAAATTAAAATTCTCCAATGCAACACTAAGTTAAACACATAATCAAACAACCCAAGGTTGCACCACACAAAATGAACCATTTTCTAAGTCATAAAATTCTCACTAACCGAAACCACAGGAAACAACGCGAATAAACAATCGAAAAGTACCTTAATGGAACCGCACAGCTCCGGCACCGATTTCCAGTGCACCGAAACGCTCGCCGCAATGTTTCGCGACAACCCAATGAACTGAACCTCGCCGTTCTTGTCGTACACGGCGTAAACGCCGGAGCCCGACGGCAATTCTCCGGCGGGATCGTCGTTTTCCGGAGACACCGCCACCGCCTCCGTTTCTCCGAGGCCCTTCACGGCCAGCGCCACCACACGTGCGCGAGGCTTCTCTGAAGGGTAGGGTTTCAGAGAAATTGGGCGCCGGTTCGCGGAGGGTTTTGGTTGGAAATTGAAGGAAAGGGTAGGGGTATTTTGGGGAATAGAAGAGGATAAACGATGAAAGGAGAGAGATTGCAAAGAAGAGAGGTTGAGGGTAGCCATTGATGAACGATCGCGATAGTGTGGGAGAAAGAAGAAGCTATCTGTTTTGCGTTTGAGTTAACGCTTTCTTCAAAATGCATATCGTTTGGGCCTAAAGCCCAATGTCAATTTTGGATTGGCCCACTGGTCCATTAATAAATTGAGAAAAATATGAAGGATTGATGTTGTTAGATAAAATGATTGTAAATACATTCTATAATGCACTTTTTATGTTAATTAAAATTATTTAAAAATCACAAAAAATAAATAAATTTAATGTTAGTTCAAATTTAATAAATCTTACTTATAATTTATATAGTTTTCAATCAATTTTAAAAACAAAGAGTATTAGAAAAAGTATATTAATCCCTTAAAAAAAAAAGTATATTAAACAATGTGAGTTTTTAAAGTGGGGTTGGAAAATCAAGGTAAGGAATGGGTCAGCTAAATAATGAGTTTTTTTATACTAATATCTGACTACAGTGGTTATATTAAAAATAAAATTTCAATTTAATGTTATTTATGGATTCTTACAGTAATTTCAAGTCCAGTTAAAATTAAAACTTTCAGTTTTTCACTTTTATAACGGGTACTTTTTAATTTGATGTACCCCTTGGGTCAAACTCTAGAAATTATTCAGTCTAAGCGACGCGACAGTGTACTCCACGTATAATGTCTTGTAAAGCGTGTTGTTGACATGTACGTACGCTGCAATTAATTTCGCTTAGAAATAATAGAAGGAGCAGAAATTAATCGTCGTCAAGATGCTTTGCTGAACAGGGAACCCATAATCAAATCAAAGGCCTAAAAACCACTCCTCGGTGAAATAAGGAGTGCATAGATCAAACACATTACTATTAACAAAAGAAAAGGCACTCTCATTCATAATCCCCTCATGCATGATGCTCGCGAAGTCGATTAGATCACCACACAAGCTTTCAGTTTCATGGACAAGCTTTTCACCTTCACCAACGAATTCTGATGAATATTGATCCGTACCCTTTGGTTCAACTATAGGGATAGATTTTGGAGGAACACCCACTTTACTCTTTTTCTTCTTCTTAACACCAAGCTTCTTGCTTAAATGAGTGTTCCAAAAGTTCTTCACTTGGTTGTCTGTCCTCCCCGGAATCCTCCCCGCGATCAAAGACCACCTAAACAGAAAAATATATATTGTGTACTACTCTTGTTAAATCTATCATAAAGTGCCATAAAAATCAGTGATTGGTATAAAATGTGTCATGATGACAATACTAATGAGAAAAAATCCAACCCTCCAATATGCTAAACACCTTGAAAGAGGAAGAAAGAAATTAAAGAGAGTATAAAAGGTGATAGATTAATAAGTATATAATGTGTTAGAAAGAGATAGCGAAAAAAATGCAGTGTTTAAAATGATTGAATGTTCAAATATCATTATACGTACAGAACTAATATAACAATACTCAAAAAAGTATGTACGATCGGTGAAAAAGTGTATTCTCTCTAGCCTCTATCCTTTTAGGTCGTGAAGTGTGATTCAGTGACTTACTAATCTAGGCATGACTTACTTGTGCATATACTATCTCTATTTTTATTTATAATATATAACTTACAATAATTATTTATTTATTTTATATAAAGTTCAATTCAAATTATTTGATATATTAATTAACTTTTTAAAGAACATATACTTTAATTAATTAAAAAATAAATAAATATTAATTGAGAGAGAAAAATAACATAGTATATGAATATTATAAAATATAAATAATATAAGGGTACGTTATTTTAGAAATATATATATATATATATATATATATGATAAATTTATTAATTTTATAATAATTATCTTTAAAATTATATTTATATAAGAAATTACTCTGGCAAAATTTGATTATTATTGTTAATGATGCAGTTGGAAAATCAATGTAATGGCATTAGGTTAAATCCTTGTTTTAAGTAACGGGTTATTAGAAATGGCCTCAAAGTGGAAGTTGCGAATAATGACATGATGAGTAGATGTTGATGATGGATTATGTTGGAGGTTTCTTTTGACTAATTATTTGATTAGTGATGGTTTTATTAGTTGTCAATTTCCATACCTGTTGCCCAGTCAGTTTTTCTTTACTTAGTTGAAGATTTTGTTACTTGAAACTTAGGGGATATATTGAATTAAAATTTTAAAGAATTTTTTTATTTAAAAAAAAATTCTACAAATTTTAAAAAATTTTATAAGATTTTCATCACTTTTAAGACTACAAAATTTTACAAGATTATATATATATATATATATTTGACAACAAATATAATGATTTTGTCATAAAGATAGAGAGATTTCCTTTTAAGATTAATTTTTAATAGAGTTATTATATTTAATAATAACTTGATTTATAATGAGTTTCAACCATCTAATTATTAAATTAAATATTTTATTAAATAAATCAAGTATATAATTTTTATAATTTAAAAATTATTTAATATTTTAATATATTAATTTAAATTAATATATATTTATAAAAATGTTAATTTAAATGAAGTATCATATAATTATAATTGAATGTCTAAAATGAAAATTAAATCTCAGTGCTCACAAATATATATCTTGTACCATATTAATTTCAAAGGAATTCAAAGCATGTACCTCACCAATTTTCACTATTGTTTCTCAATTGAAACATTTGATAACCTTTACTCGATTTATTTCCTGTTTCCTTCTGCTGACATTTTCCTGCTCTGCGTTTCACAATCCATGATGTCAGTGTCACCATCTCCTAAACTCATTGCATTATCTTTAAAGTTTTCCTTTCTTAGGCTTCAATGAAGTACATACTAAGTTATAAAAAAATATGTCTTCCTTGTTTGCTATTTGATATAAATTGTTAAGAAATCATGACACCAAAAATACATTAAAAATAATTATTATCTGACACTTAATGACTAGATAATTATTACAGATAACATGTTATTTGTTTTCTATATGACATATTGAGAATGTTTTCTCATTCTAATAGTTATTTTTAGAAAAGTAATAGTTATTGCAATTGAATTTAAAACTAGTGACGCGACAAATTTTATAAATAAAATTATGTTATTTTACGTCCACTTTTCTTTTAGTATCCCATGATAAAATAAAAAAAATTAATATAAAAATCTACCGTTTTGACTAAAAATGAAATAGAAAGAATAAGGAAAGAAATAAGACAAAAAAAATTACCATTTGTTTGAGAAGATAAATAAGAAGGAAGGAAATTATTTTCGTGAAATCTATAAAAAAAATTTACTTCTCCCCCTCCAAATTGGAATAAAATAGAATTGAATTATTTCTCCTTTTTCAGTCTTTTGGTTGATTTGTTAAAATATAAGATAAACTTTAAAAGATAATAAATAGATTTATATTATAAAAATATTAGATTAAAAATTAAAATTTTTTTTATTATAAAAATATTTTATATAATTTATTTATTTATTTATTTATTTTTGCTCCTTTTCCTCTTGATACAAACAAGTAAAGAGAAATTATTCCACTTCCTTTCTATTTCTATTTATTAAAATAATATATTTTTATCTTCTATTTTATCAATTTTGTTTTTAAGAATTTTTCTATGAAAAAATAAGAAGTATTTTTCAATAAAAAAAATTCAAAAGTATTTATAAATTTATATCCATATATGTTCTTATTCATTTGCATCACATTTTTTTACTCGGTTTTACACCTTCACATGTTATATAATACAGACGAACATAGACAGAGAGGGTGGCAAAGGAGGCTCTTTTTGAAATGGTGTAAATGAATTGCAAGGAAAACAAACTATGTCAAACAATCAGAATTGGTTCACATCCTTTATGAAAACCATTTTTTTGTTCACTTCATGTATAAAGTGAATCATTAGTAGATTACATGTGATGGTGGTGAAAGAGATTTAAAAAATAATGATGTAAAATGATCAATTTTATACTTCGTCATTGTCACACATCACAAGACTCCTAACAAAGAGAAAGAAAGAGCAAAGGAAGTTCTTTTTCAAGTTTTTCAAAACAATTAGGTGAAATGTCCGTGAAGTGTAAGAAAGAAGCACATTTGCAAGACTCATACAACAGAGTTAATGTCGAATGTTAGTACTTCCTAAGAAAAATATTTGACTTCAAGTAAGTGAATATAGAACACAGAGGAAGACAAAGATTGCTACACGTGCCAAAACTCCCATATTTTTATGGAATATTTGTAAATGTTCACTTCATTATTATTGGATTCCAAATCATATGATCCCTAATTAGTTTTTCTGAACTAACCATATTATTGGTACAAAATATCGTTAATGATTAATCTTTATCGGAGAATCTGATTGGAACCGATCACTTTTAGTAAGATCTTCCTTCCAATTATATTTTTTTTATACATAAGACTCAAGTTTGAAACATTTCTTAAGGTAACCGAGTCTCGTATCACTCGTACTAACAATTTGTTGATTTCCTAACTAGTTTTTTTTGTAATATGTTATTAATTTTCTCTTGTAAATTATAAATCTTAAATATATTGATTGACTAGAATTATAAATATTTCGTGGTCCTATATTACTTAATAATTTTTCTCATTTTAGGGTAGAGTGAGAAAATGGATCAAAAGAAAAAGTTAAAGAAAGTAATAGATAGAATATATGATGTAATATAAAAAGTAAAGAGAAATAAGAAGAAAAATTGGATGAAAGTGAGTTATAAGAAAATGGAGTGTGTATTTATAATTACCCATTTTTATGTTGTTGATATGTTACATCATTCCAGTATTTTACAAGGATCGGTTCAATTCAACTAGTTCAGGAGACTAAGACATAAACTAAAGTAAAAAGATTGTGTAAGAAGAAAGAATGTATAAGAATAATTTCTCAATGCTATTATGGACAAATTACATCTACCAGTTGGTATGAAAAGATATGCAATCATGCTAAAACACAAATCGTGGAAGGGTGTGAATTTGAGAGATTCAACAAACCTTCTAATTATATATAGTGGTTGGATCAATGAATAGCTTCCACTACATGGTGACATAACAAACTCAAGATGTTAATTAACCTTCCAAGTCATTTCTTAAACTC